GGATTTTTCATGACCCCATGCACCTAGACCCCCACCATGCAAGCCTGTTGGGGCACAGCTGATCCCCTGCAGCAGAGATTCGCTCAGAGCTATGCAAGTGATGGGAGTCTATTCCATTACGCTTGTGGATCTAGCGGTGCAGAGAAGCCCTGCTGAAGGTCACGTGTGGACAAAGAGCAGCAGCGAAGAAAGTGGCTTGGAAATGTTGACAACTGCTGAGTCCTGATGACACTGAACACCTGAAGCAAGCTATGTCTGAAGTCGTCGAAAACTGGATTCCCTATCACCTGGGTCAATAAGCCTTTGATTATAATTTCTAATTATTGTATCGGGGGAACAAATCTAAAAGTCTGATGAAAATAATACTTTGGTGAGGTTGTGGAGAACCAGGTGTGATGCTGGAGAAGGTGGGAGGGGGTCATGGCTCTTCTGAAGGCGAATTTTAAAAATCCATAAAAATTCTGAGGGCATGTGTCATCTAGCCCAATATTTCTTTCTACTTTCAGAAATCTGCCTACAGATGTACTAGCAACTGTGTGAAATGAGCCTGTTTTATTGTCCCAGAGGAAGAAGACACCCCAGATTTGATATTCTATCAAAACTCACTCAAACTCATTGTTGTGGAGTCAGAACTGACTCCTACCTGACCCTCTAGTGGGTCTTCAGAGGCTATAAACCACAAGGGAAGAGACTGCCCATCTTTCTTCCAGAGCAGCTGGTAGACTTGAACTATGTGCCTTTGGGTTGGCAGGGTAACTCCTTGCCCACTTGGCCTTCAGAACTCTCCACATATTTTATGTTGTTATTCGGTGCCACTGACTTGCCTATGACTCACAGTGACCCTATAAAAAACAAAGCAAAACTTTGTCTTATCCTGTGCCATCTTCCATGATCTCCAATATGCTCAAGCCCACTGTCATAGTCAATGTTAGTTAATCCATCTTGTTGGGGGGTCTTCCTCTTTTCCTCTGACCTTCCACCTTTTCCAAGGTCTGGTGCCCCTCCTGACAATGTCTAAAGTATGTGCACCTAATTAAGACATAAAAAAGGATAAAAACAGACGAATCATTGCAGAATGACTAAACCATCAGCATAGGTCTTAAAGACGTTCCTCTAAATTAGGGCCATGGCTTTAATTTCAACCATCTGGAGACTAAATCATCACAAGATTACAACTGGTGGCAGTTACGATTCATCACTGTGGCACATGGGACTAGAAACGCAGACAACAGACCATGGTTGCATTAGACTAATTAATTACATAATCAAAGATAATTAATGTTACAAAACAAAATGTCTATGAATGAGAATGAAAAATCAGTATGGTAAATTTTCACTCAGCAAATAAATAAATATAAAAATAACAAGACAAAAATTATTTTAATGGGGGAGGAGAAGATCATGATTGCAGATTAGAAGGGTTTTGACAGGATTGGTTCTGGGGTTACTCTAATCAACCTTTATCCTGCTACGAGCTTTTAGGAGCCATTTGAATGACTCCCATATGCCCTCATAGAGGGCAGTCATCTTGAAAAGCTCCGTTCTATGATGTCTAAGCGACTGACCAGAAAGAAGTCATTCACACAAGTCATTCCCCACACCCTTCACCTCAGCTTGAAGCTCATTGTGGTTTGTTTTGTGTACCGTAGAGTCAGAACTGACCCATAGCTGACTCTCCAGGGGGTTTTCAGAGGCAGCTAATCGCATGGAAGGAGACGGCCCATCCTTCTCCCATGGAGCACCTGGTGGCCTCAAACCGCGTGCCTCTGAGATTACAGCGCAGCTTCTTACCACTAGGCCACCAGAGCTCCCTATGAGTCAGAACTCACTCACAGCTGACCCTCCAGAAGGTTTTCAGAGTCTGTAAATGGCACTGGAGGAAACTGTCCATCTTCTTCCCGAGAAATTTTTCCTGCTGGTGGATTTAAACCTTCAGAGAGGCCCTGCCTCTGGGTCAACATTGAAAATCCATCAGTGCTCCCTTAGGAAAGGCCTTAACCTCACCTACAAATCATCCCCTCAGGACCCTGCCTTGCTAAAACTGACTGGGAAGTCCATACACTATCTCCTATATGCACGTACATAATAAAGCTTCCGCTTTCCCTCCTGACCTCTGTCTCCAAGGTCGGTTGTTCGAAGTAGCAGGTGGCAGAATTGAGTTTTTCTGGGTAACATTTCCAGGCCCAAACCTAGAGGGCAGAGACAAGAATCACTACACTTTCCCTCCTACTCTGCTCTGGCTTGAGCATAAAATGAAAATAAATGACTCACAAAGGTACCAGCCTGAAGCTACTCTGCCACTGAAGTTAGCCCTGGGGGAAAAAAGCCTGATTTGAAAGAGGCAAACTCAGTCTTGAACGATGAGTGAGCAGCTGAAGAAATGAGTGAACACAGAATTCTTTTAACCCCTGTGTCAGGAAATGTGAAGATGGTGCAGGATAGGACAGGGTTCAGATCTGTTGTTCTATGAGTCGTATTCAACTCGCTGGCACCTAACAATAGCAACAAAGCCTGTTGTTATTACCATTGAGTCAGAACCGACGCATAGCTGACCCTCCAGAGGCTTTTCAGAGACAGTAAATCTCACGGAAGTGCCCATCTTTCTCCTGTGGAGCAGCTGGTACATACGAAGCGTTGGCAGCGTTAACTTCTTACCATTAAGCCATCAGAATTCCTTCCCTGTGAGTGTGAATTTCCTCAAATGCAAAAGTGAAGGAACAAGGGAGCTCTGGTGGCCTAGTGGCAAGAAGCTGTGCTGCAATCCCAAAGGTGCACAGTTCAAATCCAGCAGATGCTCCGCTGGAGGAAGGGCAATCTCCTCCTGTGCTAGTTGGATCAGATTCGACAGCACACAGAAAGTAATAAAAAAGAACAAAAAGAGGTTTTTATGGTGTTTGTTGTGTTTTTGTTTTTGTTTTTTTTAAAAGAATAAGAAACAAGGGAGCTCTGGCGGCCTAGTGGCAAGAAGCTGTGCTACAATCCTAAAGAAGTGCGGTTCGAATCCACAAGATGCCCGGCTGAAGGAAGGGCAATCTTCTCTTGTGCCAATTGGACCTGATTCAAGGTACACACAAGAAAAAAATTGGGGGGAAAAAAAAGGAACAGAATTTCCTCAGTTTCTGATTACAGCTCATCACGACCTTATCAACAAGAGATGTGAACCCTTCCCCACCCTGTACCACCCTCACAGCCATGTTCAAGTCCACTGTAGTGATGGCTGTGCCAGTCCACCTCATTAAGGGGCTTTCCTTCCCCGACCCTCTACTTTCCCAGCATGTCTTATCCCAAGGACTGGAGCCAGATGAGGCTCTTTGCCTTTGAGAAGCGAGTTCCCCTTAGAGCCCTACTGAAATAGGACGATGAATGTAAGATGATGACTAACCTCATCCCTGCCTAAAACGGATGCTAACTGCCTGTTGTCATTGGGAGGCCTCTGAACACCGTTGGCAAGAACGGAGAGGGAGGACCCAGGGACGGAGCGCCTCCGGGAGCCAGACAGCTCTGCTCTTCCCCTCCGAGTGATGAGCAGGAACACCCTTAAAAGGAAACATTCAAATTTACCGGTACAGAAAAGTTAGGAAAGGCTAAACTGAGGAGACACCAAAAGATAGTAAAAAAAAAAAAAGTTTTTAAAAAATTGAGGCTATTAAGGCAGCTTTCAAAAGCTAAAGGAGAACTGAGTAACTGGCAGAGAGGGGTCAAACTGACAAGAACAAGGTCACCTCCACCTTGAGGAGGCTCAGGGGCGTCTCAACTCAGGTGCTCACCTCAACCTGCCCATCTTATAAAAATGGCCTGAGTCAGTACCTGGAGAGGCTTGATTGTCAATGGCTTTGATCCCTCCCTTTTGAAACCTAAATCCTGGAGGATTCTTTCGTTCAGTTTCCCCTCAGGAGCAGGATGTTCTCCTTGGAGGACAATGGGCTCTGGCACCGCCCAGTCAGCCCTCCTAAACCCTCTTTCAACCTTGTCCGGCTGCTGGAGGGGAACTTCGGTGCTGAGTCAGTTTGGCTGTCGCCCAGCCAAGTAAAACTGCAGAAGCTGCAATGCAGGGCCATTAAAGGAGCTATTTTTAGGCTCCAATTCAATCTTATTCAGCACTGGCACAGAGATGCAAGGACTGAAGGTTTGCCAGACCCAAACTGAGGGGATACCAGCAGGGACAACGTCCCAGGCAAACAGGTCAGGGAAAAGGCAAGATTCCACCAGGTTGACAGAAAGAGAACAGCTCCTAGGGGCTCCACTGCTGCCCGAGGTCCAGAAGATGTGAAGTGGCGCTTGCTTGTAGGTCAAGAATTGGGCTTGAGCATCATCTGAGGAGTCACAGAGGAAAATGGGCTAAGGAGAGGGAGGAGATAGTATCTGCCAGAGTCTAGGACAAGATGCACTAACAGAGCGTGTGAAGTTACATCCTCAGCCTATTCCAGGTCAACGGACAATACTGGGAAGAGGACTTGGGAACATGAAGTCCTGTGGCCTTGGGGATGAGAATTTCAGCCTCCAGAATTCAGAAGGATGGTGTCATGGGAAGCGGAGAATTAAGAAGCGGTGACACCGAGATGCTTGAGAGGCCCCGGGAAAGCGAGGGAGGAGTCACATTTGTTCGTGGCAAGTTTTTATACCAAAGGTTCATGCAGAATCACTGCTGAGAATAACCTCACAATATTCCAACCCAGAAAAGGCCACATAACATGAAAAATTTTTCTCATCTTCTATTTAACATGCTTTAAAGTATAATAAGAAATAACCTCTGAAGTCTTCTTGAGACTGTTCTAGGGGGTTGAAAAAAGACACCCCCCCCAACTCAAACATATTCTATAGTGAGTGCCTCATGAAACTTTAAACAGGATAGAAACTAACCATTCAGAATGAGAGAAGCCATAAGCATGATGCCAAAGGAGTCTAATAGGCCACAGCCTTGGATTTCATTTGGGGGCAAAGAAAATCATTACCACATCATAACTGATGGCGGGTGCAATCCATCACGGGGGCAGGCAGGGCTACGGCAGCAGGCGAAGGACCGTGGCTGGGACAGGTACACAGAGATTACAAAGGCCAACAGGATTGGTCCGGGGACTGGTCACTGGGCCAACTGGTGTTGGAGGTAACTCATAACCACACAGCCACCAGCACCATAGCTTTTCACTGAAATTAGATAGTAAGCAGCTATTTTCAGCAAATCATTAATCTTTAAGGACAAGCCTAGTCGAGTTTCCAGGTTCTTCCTTCCGTGTGTGGTACATATGCCAAGGGCGAATTGCCCCTCCTTGGGAGCTGGACTCCTTTCAACTCTTTTCCAGAGCACAAACATACCATTCCTTCCTAGGCTCACCCAGGACTTACAAAGATAGCCACCAGGTGGGTTTAATAGCCAGCAAGGACTCAAAAGGTGGTTAAGAATCAATGTGAAGAGGTGTGTGTGTATATATATGTATGTATGTGTGTATATGTATGTATGTGTATATATAGATGTATTATATATGTATGCGTACACACACACACACACAAACACACACACACACGTTGTTGTTGTTGTGCACCACAGAGCCAGAACTGACCCATAGCCGACCCTCCAGTGGGTTTTCAGAAGCAGTTAATCATAGGGGAGGAGACTGCCCATCCTTCTCCCAGAAAGCAGGTGGTGGCCTTGAACCCTGTGCCTTTAGGATTGCAGGGCAGCTGCTTTGCACTAGGCCACTAGGACTCCCTCTCAGAAATCTTAACATAAACAAAAAAACTGAGTACTTCTATTTTAGGGGGTGGACAGGACAGAATGCACTTTTTCTGTCAAAAGTGCCAAGGCTACTTTGTGCCATCTTTCATTTTGTTTCACTTTTGCATGAGGATCACCAAGGTGACTGTGTAAATATTTTTACATGGTGTCTTCTGTTGTAACTGGGGCTTAAGCAATCAATCGGTAAGAAGCCCTGGTAGTATAGTTTGTTAAGTGTTGGGCTACCAACATAAAAGTTGGTGGTTCAAATTCACTGGCTACTGTTGTAGGAAAAAGACAGGATACTCATTCACAGATTTAACAGTCTCAGCAACCCAGTGAAGGTGGCCATGCCAGCATCATCTTGACAATCCTGAGTTTGGTTTTGAGCAACTGAGAAAGTGAAGAGGGATTGTTGACCAAGGGTTAACGTAACGTGTGGGAATACCACTATTTAGTATCTCTGTGCTGGGTTGACTTTGGCTTTCTGGAACCTTCTTAACAAGGAAGACCAGTGCATCTACAACAATGAATGAATGGAAATCCAAAGCCTCTGCAAATTTTCACTGAAATTAATAACAAATGTAAATTAAAAAAAAAGAATTAAGTTAGAGTAAGGATGGCAATGGATTTATAACTGCTCAAGCTAATAACACTATATCGTGGCATGGAGGAGGAACAGTGGAAATGTATCCATATTTACAACATTCCTCTTGCCAAAACCATTTATGGAAAATAGGTACTGCATTAGAACATGTATCTCTGGATTAGAAATTATGATATTGTTAATACTTCTAGCCTTAAGCTTAAAAGATTATAATGTTCAAAATTATTTGTTATACATTTGCTTAAATTTTTCCCTCTTTTAACAACTGGGATCTAGAGGGAAGAGAAAAGACCA